TTTTTACTTTAGAATACAACCACCAAAAATATATATTGAAATAGGGGTTAGCATTTTGAACTATATGAGGGGATCTCTCCCCAAAACCCAGAATTACCCCTGCCATCCAAATTATGTTTTTGGTTTTTTTTTTAACAAAACAACCTTATCACCTTCAAAGTACTCTCCATTACATTTAATACATTTGTCAAATTTGCGATGCCATTCTTGGAAATATTTTTCAAACTCATCTGTTTGGATGGCTGACAGCACTTCCCTCGTTTTTTCCTTCACCTCTTCTACTTTGTCAAATTGCTGTTCTTTTATGTCCCTCTTCATTTGCAGAAACAAAAAGAAGTTGCATGGAGCATAATCAGGTGAGTCAGGTGCACGGGGCAAGAGAAAGGCATGTTGTTTTTTGCCAAAAACTGGTGCACTGAGATGGCTGCATGAGCAGGTGCACTGTGGTGGCAAAACCAGTCAGCCTACCACAAGTCAGGCCTTTTTTGGTTGCACACTGTTAAGCAATCTTTTCAGAACCTCTATATAGAAAGCTTGATTAACAGTCTGACCTGGTAGAATCAATTCCAAATGCACTACGAGTTGACATTTTTGTCCATTCAGGAAGTTAATGGACATCCAGAACCAGGTGTGTCATCAATTGACATTTCACCTTTTTTGAAACAAGAAAACCATTTGTACACTTGAGTTTTTCCTATAGCGTTGTCTTTGTAAGCTGTGTTCAACATCACAACAGTTTCTGCAGCATTTTTCCTGAGCAGGAAACAAAATTTCACAGCTGCATGCTGTTCTCTTAAATCAGCCATCACAAAAAACAAGGTTCAAGTATAACTGCTTTTACTAAAAAATTCACTGTGACCAGAGAGAACATTCCCAGGCGACACCACTGGGTGCACTAACTCAGAGCGAGTTGCTCAATCCTTGTCCAGCAGGAAATACGCGTACTACGAAAGCTCCACTCTGTCCAGCACAATTCTGTTTTTTGTGGATACCCTCTTGTATATGTGAACAAATATTTTAGTATAACCCTTTTGAAGAAAAATATTAGGTCAAGTTATAAGTATCTGATATGGTAGTTTGTGTTCAAATGCTACCTTAAAAAGTTGGTCTGAACCCACCCCATAGTACCAATATCACAGATTGGTAGAGATCTGCTTCTATTCTGACTACAGCCAAGAAAACATACGGAGTTGTCTGTCATGTATCAGAATTGACTGACAGCAACTAACAACTCACAGGACTTCAATCCTACAGAACTTCTGGTTTAATGAACGTTTAAAATTATTTTAAAATGCTTCTATCTTGTCTGTATTCAGAAGGGTACTAAATTCATTAAGGTGGGTGTAATAATTTAGAAATGAAAATGGTGATAGCTGTACATCTTGATGAACACAATGCCACTGAGTTACATATGTATTTTTACCATCATAAAGTAGCAAAAAATTACAACACAACTACTCTATTTGATAGATATATGAAGATGTTTTCAATTCTAAAATTTCATAATAGGATTCTAAATAAAATCTTGTAGGAAATAACATTTTGTTAACCTATATGCATATGATTACTATTTGTCCTTAAAGTACAAAATTGCAATTCTTAAAATTTTGTTGTTTTATAATCATTCATTTGGATTAGCATTACTTTCATTTGTGAACCTCAAACATGAAAAATCTGTCAGTAGCTTCTGATTTACAGGGGCCAGTCACGTGAATCCAAGAAAGGGAATGTGATAAAATAGTCCTTCCTTCCACCAGAATCTGAAATTCTGCTTCAGTAGAAAAAATAAAAAGAATTAGGCAATTTTTTTTCACCCTGAGCTTGTTAGTGCACATCAAACACTTCATCCCCACAGTACTAATATAATTCAAGGTCAGTTCAAATCATCTGAGGGTGAAACATTTTTTTACATATTAAATTTAAAGTAACAAATGGCAGGAAATTCAGTTGATACTATAGAGCTTTTAGCTTGAATGTTTTACAACAGAACCCTCTGTCACTAATTTGGTCTAAAGCAGTACCAGTAGTAAGAGTTTCTGTTGATTCTCAGGGGGCTTAGGAAACAGCAGGAGGCTAATTTTATAGGATACTGTGTATTTTCATGTTTGTCACACTACATAAGAGGTAGAGTAGGAAACTCCAGTCTTCTTTTAAATTCCAAAGCAAACATAATAAACCTGAAAAGACCCCCCAACTACAGCAGTGGTTGCAGCAATGAGCTCAAACGTAACAATGGCTATGAGGGTGACAATGTTTCCGTCTGTTGTGCGTAAGCTTGTTTGGGTCAGAATCAACCTAACAGTAGCAGCAATTACCTCTTGCTGACCTTCAATAAGCAAGATTATTGTCTTTCCTTCAAAACTGAAATTATTATGTATGTTTATATTCCTTTCCCTTCTCTTAATATGAATATGTCTTTAAAAATAGTGCAGGTACGCCTAATTTTCTAAAGTTTGCTTTATGTCACTTTAACAAAAGCCTACAGTAGTACCTACTTTTTGCTAACTGAAAGAAATAAGGAAGATTTTCACTTTTATGAATACAAAAAGAATACCAAAAAAATGAAACTAGCATTCAGTGTTTATTTTGCAGTTAGCCGGTAAAGAGGCAGCAATCCTCTAGCAGTGACCAGACTCCTTCCCTGGGAACAACATTATACATACATTATTTTTACTTATATTGGCTATGTATCTGTCTTATCATTCTTGAATGTACTATATGCTAGTATTATTTTATGTTGTTGGGCAGAACCTAGTAGGTCACTTTTTAGGCCTGGAAATGCTAACAACAACAACAACAAAAAACCTTCCCATATAAGTTAATGACAATTGCTTTGCTTTATGTCATTTTGGTGTTTCATAGGAATGCTATATTTTCAGATAATAGGGAACAATTGCATAGACCCAGCAGAACACCATCAGCCCTACAAGATTTCCCACATTGTACACAAATGTGTAGAAAACTTCTAGTTTAAGAAGATAAACGCCTTATGTATTTAGCAGTATGCCAATCTGAGTTTTACCAATCAGATCTTCAAATATCAAGATACATTATTAAGTAAGGAACTTATGCAATCCACAGTCTAGTGGTTTATTCACTGCATAGGCAGTGGCTAATCTTTCAGCATATCAAAGAATGTTTTACAAAATCAAAACAACTATCCATCCCAAATCCTTCAGCCTCAGGGAAGAGGAGTTATGTGTCACGCATAAGTCATTAACTCCCTTATTTTTTTTAAAACCCCTATGAGGTAGCTATCCCTTCTTGCAATTTCTATTGAGGTAGAAAGCAATCTGCCCAGAATCACACAGCTGGTCAGCCAATGGTGGCGCTGGGGAACAAGCTGGCCCAGTCTAGCTCAAGCTCTCGAACCAGCTCCACTACAATACTATGCTGGCTCATCAGCCTTTCAGCTACTCAAAATGTGGGTTCAACGAACAATTAATAGTTAAAAGAAAAAAAGACAAAGTTGTTAAATAAGGGCATAACATTGTATTTTGTGTGTAAATAAATATACAGTACAGAATTTTAAAACCCGAATTTCGTATAAACTGGCATAAAAATCATGGGTACCATCTGTGATCCACAGCACTAAATCTAGTAAGACAGTCAACACCAAACCCCCGCTGCAGGTCGATTCTGCCCCAGCATGACCCAATAGAGCAAAGCAGAACTGCTCCAGAGGGCTGTTGTAGCTTTGAAGAAGCAAACTGCCACAACTTCTATCCTGAAGAGCGGCTGGTGTTCCCAAGCACTAACCTTTTCGGCTAGCTCTGTCTAGTAAGACTAGGAAGAGTAAAATTAGAAGCTTCCTCTATATGCACCTTGAACGCTATATGATGTGCCTCACTCTGCCAAACTCAACGTTTATGCTCACAGGCAGTTTTTGTTTTCAAGTACTTCGCAGCTTTCGTGATAATTTTAGTTTGCACAGCTCAGACCACCTGTGGTTTGAGCCAACCAAGTGATAAACTTAAAAAAAGAAAACAAAACTGCTGATACTAGAAAGCGCTTCTAAGCAGCAAAATAGTCCTGAACAGAAAGGCCCTAAGGAAGGCACCAATGTGTGACGAATGCACCACACGTTTACAACACGCTATCAATTTATGATGTCATATTCAGGCTTTCCAGCACCTGAGCTTGACGATGAGACAACCACTAATGCCCCAAGTGGAAGACCGTTCCACATTATAAATCCTCCTGAAGAGAGACAGGGCGGAGCAGGGGGCTGGCATGCACGTGCATGTGGAAGGAAAGGGGGGGCATCTGTAGGTTAGGAGGCTGACACACTGTCATGTGAAAGGTTTCGGGGCGCCACCAGCTCGCTGCAGCTGCACCAACGAGGTTGTTTATTTACACTGGGTCGCTAGGAAGAAAGCCGGCACGCTTCAAGCGAACGATCGAGTTAATAACACTAGGAGGGAAAGGAGGGCAAGCGAACATCTGCGGGCAGGCGGGTCGCCGCCTGGGCCGCCCGGGGGCCACTGACAAACACAGATCACCCCCCACCCCCCCGCTACAGGCCTTTTTCTATTGACGCACAGAGAACGAACAGGCTGCTTTCGGTCAGCCCTCGGTCTCCGTCTACCTAATTACCGTGGCCTTCATTCTAGGGCGGCGAAGGGGCGGGAGCTGATGCAGAAGGGGACGGGGACCTCGGGAGGGTCTGCCTGCGCTCCGGCGGGGGCTGCTTCCCGAGGCTCCCGAGGGGCCCGGGTCGGGGCGGCGCAGGAACGGGGGGCCGGCCCCGCAGCTTCGCCTCCTGCGGGTCCGGAGGGCCAGCGCGGCGCTTCCCTCCGCCTCCGTCTCGGTCCCCGCGGTGGACAACACCGCCCCCCCCCCGCCCCCCGGCCAGGCCCCTCACAACGACGCACTCACAGCCCGCGGCCTCGCCCCGCCCCACCTCGCCCTCCGTTTCACTCGCCCTCCAAGGGGGCTTGCCCCACTCCTGTCACTCCCGAGCGCCCCGAAGTCCCCTGCGCGGGGCCCTGCTTGGCTACCTGGATCCGCTTCTTGTGTCGCCTGCGCTCCGCCATGTTGGCCGCTCCGCCCGGTTCCCTCTGACGTGGAGTGAGGAGGGGGCGGCGGAAGCCTCGCGAGAGCGCGCCTCCGGCCCGT